TAGATAGCGAGTTCCTTGTTTTTAACATCTGGGGTGCAATTACAAAGCTATACACATTGGTCTCTTGCACATTTTATGAAATTTTAAATATAAAGAAATGCTTTACAACAGCCCAATTGCCAAACTTATAGTTCAGTCTGGAAAGCCAAGGAAGGCTGCTATAAAGATACAGGTCTGTGACTCATCTTTTGACAAGTGTCTTTTATTATGCTTGTAACCACATGAATATTTGACTGGGTAGATGCCAGAATTTGAAATAAGGTCAGTAGTACTGACAAAAAGCAGCCAGATGATGGTTGGCACAACTGTAGCTGTTCCCTCAGGTCAGTTTCTGCAGTAAGCTGGTACTTCTCAGAGCCACAAAAAGGAGCTCTATCTAATGACTTCCTGTTGCTTATCACCTTAAATGCTTTGAAAGCTTAACAATAGCTATCATTTTAACAATTCAAGCAAAACCTGAAGGATGTATGCAACATGAATATGTATTTTCACCACTGACTGAACTAAAGCCTGCAAATTTTACCTTTGATTACCATTACTACATAACACAATCTGACTGGACGTTATATTCCCTCATCTATTTGAATGCTTCATACTTCAACTGTAAGCTTTTCAGTGTCCTGATATCGTGTCCATACAATGAACCCTTGGGATTAATAACCAATAACCTCACGTTTGCTATGTTTAGATAGTTACAGTTTCATACAAACTGGGATGGATTCTGATCAAAGTGAATTGGTAAAATCCAGACAGCTTTCTACTACCACATATTCCCAGTGTTTAAAGTTCCCCGGGTACCTAAAGTTTTGGGGTAATAATTGAAAAAAAAAAAAAAAAAAAAAAGCCTACTTTAAAAAAAAAAGAAATCATAGAAGTACAGAATTGTTAGAGTTGGAAGAGACCCTGAAGGGTCATCTGGTTCAACTCCCCAGCAATGAATATGGACACCTATGGATTGATTAGGAGCTCAGAGTCACTTCCAATCTCAAGTGTTTCCAGGGACAGGACATCTACCCCCACTGGGGACAATCTGCTTCAGTGCTCAGTGTAAAAAACGTCTTCCTTTTTTCCCCAACCTAAATCTCTCCTCTTTCAGTCTGAAACCACTTCCCCTTATCCTATCACAACAGATCCTGCTAAAGAGTCTGTGCCCTTCTTTTTTTTTTTAAACACCCTCCCCCCCCATTACAATAAAATAAAGGCATTTGTTTGCGTTTATAGCATCACGCAATTGGTTACCGTGGACATTATACACATGGAATAACTGAGAACAAAATATTTACCAGCTTAAACCACAAGATGATGCCTTTGTAGGTGCAGGAGGGAAAAAAAAAAAAAAAAGCTACTCGTAGGAAACTAGAATTTCAGAAACTTTTTAGTAGGCTGTCCCAGAACGAAGCCAGCAGACACACGTACATGGTGTGCAACTCCACTTCAGGCCACAAGATAGAGCCATTACCGCTGCCTCTGCAGCCCAGCAAGCCTGCACTGAGCACAAGCCAAGAGTCACTGAAGTCTGGGGACTACAGTTTTCAGTACAGAAATGAAACCCCATTATAAAGGTGCTGTACTGATAATACATTATTGGTTTGATTATCTTATTTTCAAAGTTAAAACAAACAAACACACAGCCTTTACCAAACAGTTTAATACCATCATGATACATGTTCATGGACTGTTGTAAGCAACCCTGAAACTTGCATTTTGACATGTACACAGCTTTCTTGAATAGAAATACCACTTCATTCTTGTCCTTTTCCTATGTTTCTCCCTAGGTATTTATGCTGGAACTATGCCAGCATCAATTGATCTCATCTGGCATGGCCATACCTGTATTTTCTTCACAAATCAGAAGAATTGCTTGCTACACAACAGACCTTTCCCAAGGAAGGCTGCACAGCATGGATGTGAGCATCAGAAACCGTAGTATAGCCTCTAACTTTGATTCAGGTGTCATACTTTCATTTTTATTTTTTTTTCCCATATGTAATCACAGTGCTACGGTATCTGAATACCTCAAATTACTGAAATGAACTGTGTTTTGATTCAGACTGTTACTTTGTAACAGGTATGTGATAAGATGGAACAAGTCAGTTTTTTCTCCTCTGATATCACTCAATACAACTAGTGGGTTACAAATCACCCATATACAATACAGTGTGTGGTGTAGATGTAGCTGTCTTTAAACACACCTCTGGACTGCAGGGTACTGCTATAAGTAACTGTGTGTGAGACTCAACACAATAAGGCCTGCAAAGAATGGAAATAAATCTCTCTTTACAGCTTGTTCTCATTTGACCAAAAAATTAACAGCCATTTTTTAGATTAACTTTTCAAAGTGCAGCTTGACTAAGCTCAAACCCATATTTTTTTTAGGTTATATTTCTGAAATAATAATGTGCATGAAAAAAAACAAATAACCACCCACCAATAAGTACCACAACAAACCATGATATGTTCATCTAGATTCCACAGTATGTAGTAAAGTAATAAGCAAGTGACAGTCCAATTTTTTGTCTTTTTTTTCTTCACATACTGCCCAAGATTAAAAAAAACCTCCTCCATTAGATATTACATATCAGAAACATGGATGTTGACTATCTTCCAAGTAAGGAGTGCACAGTCTACGTTCCTCATATTTACTTCTAACTTTTAAATATGTTGCTGTGCTGCTGTTCTTCATACCTGCTTGGGTGAAGCCAAATTTGCAACATCCAGGCTCATATTATATATGATGAATATAAATGAAATATACCAGTCCCAGTTCTGCATTCACTTCACATTTCAAATATAGAACTCACTTAAAAAGACTTCATACTAAGTGATGTAATTTTTGCAATTCATTTCACAGACACCTTTTATTTAAATGAAATATACACTTCAAGATGACAGAGAGATGTCCTCTCTTCATCAGACATGTTGTTTCACAAAGGACAAAAGACCAAGTCAAGTACAACGGGATCCAGCTGAGATTTTAATCCACTTATAAAGAACAACACGTAACTTTGCAAACTCACATCTGCATGCCTTTTGGAAGACCTGAGAACTTCCAGCAGCAAACCTGTAAGCTGATCCTAACCTGAAACTGCCAGTATCATTCTGAACTAAAGATTTCCCTTCATCTGTAAAAGTGAATTCATTTTAAAATACTAAGATCTGCTTTCTCTAAAGGCCTGCAAAAACTCTTAAAGAAACTCTACATGCTTTGCTTACAATCAAACAGGTCACAACTCATTCAAGACAACATCCAGACAGAACACACAAAGCACTTTCATTTCAGCAAATATTTTCAACTTCCTGCCTTCAGTTGCCCTCCAGACAGCAGTTTTAAAGAGTCAAAATAACATTTCCTTTCCTTCCTACTCTCCTCCTTTGAACTCACAACTGAATCACTTTGTTATATAGTTTCCAATAACTTGATATTTATCTGGAGAACAAGCCAAAAAGATTCTCTAACACACAGATACAAAATTAAGAAAAATGTTAGTGCCTAGGAACTGGGATAATACAGGGAATTTAGTTGAAACAACATTTTGTTTTCTATACAATTTTTTTCCAAGCACAACTGTTTTTGGTTGCAGGAGTTTTTTCAGTATTTTGTTCCATCATCCACTCCACTTTGTTTCCTTAATCTTTTGCTGCAAGTCATCCTCGAATTTGTGAACTTATTTACCCATTATTATTATCTCCTCTTTCCTCTTTCTTATGCTGTTTTGGCTCCCTCATTCTGAGCAAATCCTTATGTTCTTCCTTCAGTCATATACATACAATTGAAGGATATACAAAACATACATATTACAATTATGTGAACTCCTAGTGTTCTGACACACTTCTTCCACATATGCTCATTTTTCCTCTTCCATAAGGACCATTCAGTTCTGAACTCTCCCATTCCCAAATGTCTGGAAGCATAAGCGCAAATTTCCCTCTTCTGGCTCTATAGAGAAATAGGCCAGCAATAAAAATAAAAATGTTGACTGGGAATTCTCCTGCCCCCAAGGAGATAAATAACATTCACTCCTGGCCTAAAAATTGTTCTCTTTTGGAAGCCACTGTTTACCCAACAGGGCCATACACACTTCCTAGAGGGGAACAGCATGAAATCATCTAAAATTTTGATGCAAGTCTTTTTATCCTAACATTCCTCAAACTTTACAAAATTACAGCCACCTTCTTGCTAATACATTTTTGTGCAACTCCTCAAAACTTGGCAGAGGCACAGAGGAATGACAGTCAGCTGGATTTCCTGGCTGCGGGTACAAACATTGGCTCTTCTCCCCTGAAGGAATAAACTGCCTCCAGCAACCCGAGAAAATTCACACTTCTCTAGCAAATGGAAAAGAATGCCAACATTTCTTTCTCTCTCCCCACCCTGCAGGTACTGAGCTGCTGCCAATTAACAAAGCATTCCCCCATATTTTGCAATCCCTTTGAACCTTTTCAGGACTTCAGAGGAAACAGTTTTGTCTCTGTGTAAATCTATTCAGTGCAAATGGTAGTCACACACACACACAACAAGGACAATTGCAGCAGAACCCCTTAGACAAGAGTATCTTGTTAGTTTGTATCCATTATTTGAAAAACTTAGTATTTAGAATATACATGTACAAAAGCCAAGAATAATCTAGGTGCAATGGAAAGAAGAAATCACAGTAAGACATTAAGTGGATATGAGATAAACCACTTTCAAAAATTCCCTAAGTTGGTGATTATGTTGCTTTTCATGCTACTGCCACATTGCTACATACTGTTTTAAATGAATCATTATTTTCTCTGCAGAGTAAACTTACACTATATTTTAAGTATTCATTTTCAAGTTCTACTAGACCTTCCTTGAGAAACAGGGTTAAAAACTGACTATTGTTCCTACAACATAAATACTTCCAATGTTTAATGGCATCCTAGTCAAAAAAAAATCCACCCAGTTGCCTGAATAACTGTACTATTACATAAAAAAAATCGCATGGATGCTATCTTTACAAGGTAGGGTAAAAACTCACGAAATCAGCTTCAAGTTTTCCCATTTCTTGTTTGTAGCTTCTCATTCGACTGCTGTACATTCCCCGACTTTGAGGTGGGATCTCTCGGACTTCAAGCTCCATCTGCTCAAGCTACCAAGTAAAATCAGAGAGATATAAGTTAAAGTGATAATTAAAGCAAGAAGGAATTTGTAGCTGAAGGTGTCCCTGACCATGGCAGGAGTTGGAACTAGATGATCTTCCAACCTAAACCACCCTATCAGTTTGTTTAGCTAAATGCTCACAAATACCAAGAAACATTTTCTCCTTCAATAAAAGTGTTGTCAGTCCTATTGACAGTATAGAGATATGTTAGAAAAATCTTTACACAGCATAAAGTCAACTAATTAATGACAAAACTGCTATTATTAACACTTTTAAAAAAATGATTCTATTTAAACCTTTCTAGATTTCAGTTTCAAATGCAGTGAATACACTGATGAACATCATGCAGAAGGTACCCAACCTCCACCTAGTTGTGTGGTTTTACAAATTGTGTTTAATTTATCTTTGTATACACACACATTTTATATAGAGACACATAAAATTTTAATCTACCAACCATCTCTATGTGTAATAAAATAATTATTTTACTTTTCTGCTTACTCAGCAGCATCAAGTAGCCTGAGCTTTCTGAACTGGCTGCATAAATCTACATCCCAAATCTCTATGCAGGTACATTAAACAACTGAATTTTAGAATTATAATGAAAATATTGTTCAAGAACTGGTATATACAGTTGAATGCAAAAAATGTCAGAGAATTTATCTTTAAAATGGTTTTGCTACTTATTTTTGACATGCAGAACTTTAAGGGGCCTGAAATGCAAGAATATGACATCAGGTTACAGAAAATCAAAAGGAGTTATAAACCAGGGCTGACTCGCCTGCTAATTACCAGCCCACTGGGTTAAGGAAACACCTTTACACAGTGCTGGCTCCTCAGGAATTCTGTTGTGCACAGCTAAAAAACTCCCGTACCTGCTTTTAAAATCTTTCCAACTTACTTTAGAAAGATAAAAGAATAGCTCTCCTTGGTTGCTGTAGATACCTGAAACAATATTTACTCACCTCCTATTGATCTCAGCTGAGCAATACAGCATTGGAACAGAAATGTCTTTCAATTAAGGTCCCAAGCTTCTGGTTACAGGTCTTCACAAGGGATAGTTATAGTTTATTCCTACATAATCACTAGCTTACACTTTGAGATTTCATCCCCATAACATAAAAAGCATCTGAATTTAATCAAGTGAATTACCAGAAACTGGAAAGTCATTCAGCCTGATCTATTCTGATTACACAAAATGGTATTTGATAATAAACTGTAAAGCTGACTTTAATTAAATAGTCAGTAATGAATTGAAACATACAAAGCTGTTTCTAGATCTACCCAGCTCTTTGGTGCAGGCTTAACTTTCCAAAGGGGTATTATAAATTAAACTGACAGCTATAGTAAATGGTTTATTTCTTATCATTTCACCCCAATAGACTTTATCTTGAACATTCCATAAGCATAGAAAATGTTTCCCTTACATCTATTTATATGTGCAAGATCAGGATATTTTAATGAAGTCTCAATTCTTTTCTATTAAATAAAAATGAAGCCATCTCCCAAATGAATACATCTGTTGCAGCCCTGATCAGACCACAGTACACAATATCCAAAATCCTCACTCTAAACAGCGAGTATCAGAGAGCATAAAGTCTAAGAGAAATCTGTGATGTTCCTGAAAATGTTACAGGCAGTGACAAAGAATCCATATTTATCTGAGGTGGGGGTGGGGGGCAGGTGAGTGGGTGTTATCACGACTTCAAACAGGTACATTTTGTGGCTGCAGTGATAAATCTCCACGCCAGTCCATGCAGAAGATAGTGGTCCAAGCAGATGTGAACCTAAATACAACCTCATTTTACACTGAAGTTTATCTCAACATTCATCTATCTTAAAAACCCAGTGAACAAATCTTGCAGGTGCTCTGGTTTGGCCCTACCCGAAGTACTATGTGCAGTTTTGGGTGCCAGAATATATGAAGGACGTAAAACTACTAGAGAGCAACCAAACAAAGGCTATGAAGATAGGGAAGGATGTGGAGTGCAAGAGGTGTGAGGAATGCTGAGGTCCCTGGGTTTGCTCAGCCCAGAGCAGAGGAGTTGAGGGGAGTCCTCATGGCAGTCCACAGCTCCTCACAGGGAGCACAGGGGCAGCACTGAGCTCTGCTCTCTGGGGAAAGCATCAGGGCCTGAAGGGAACAGCATGGAGATGCATCTGGGGGGGATTAGGGAAAGGTTCTGCTCTAGAGGGAGGTGGACATGGAACAGGCTGCCCAAGGCAGAGGGAACAGCACTGAGCTGCTGGAGCTCAAGAAGCACTTCGACAACGCTCTTAGACATAGAGTTTGGTTTTGGGATGGTCCTGCATCGAGTCAGGGGTCAGACTGAATCCTTCTGACTCACTTCCAACTCAGCATATTCTACAATTCTGTGACACTCTGCATGGGATGCAGGAATGACAGGATTTCTCTCCAGAAACCTCTTACTCAGCAGCTATGGCTTTACAAGGCAGTCTGGGAGTAATGTTTTGGTGTCAGTTCTGCATACAGATCAAATGAATTACACCAGTGATGCTACCCAAACAAAGCAGACTGTTTTAAAACAATCAGTGATTAGTCAGTGTAAATAAAATAACTCTACAATAATATTTATAAGAAAGTTGTTTCTTAACCAATTAGGAAATAAACCAAAACAAAATAAGCCAAGCTTTAATCGGACAAGAGGAAAAACAAACTGCTGTACAGAAACTATCAGTGCCAAAGAATTAGGATTGTTTCGGCTTTCCAACGTAGCTTTTCATTTAAAAGAGGATCTTTTTAATCAGTTCTGTTATTATCAGGTTTGTTCAAATTGATTTTAAACCCAAGCCTTGACATTAATCACAAACATCTAAGGTAATTACTTAAAGCCAATAATTGAATTAAGCACCTGTCTGGCAGCATTAGCAATAAGATCTAAAACAAAAGCGTGAAAGAAAAGTCAGTATATGAAATCAAGATCATCATTAGGATGAAAATGCAGATATAAAGATTTAGTTTTTACTCTCATAATAAGTAAAATGTAGATGAATTTTTTCTGACATAAGAAGAAAAGTAATGAACCATTAACTCAATTTCTGTCCCTTCCAATCTTTGATTAGAGAACCAAATTTGAGCAATTTTTCAACATAACACCCATGCTGCAATTTCCCTGTAGTGCTATGTCTTTTTTTGCCATGTCAAGTTGCAGTGAAAAGGAGATGAAAAGCACTTCTACGTTCTTATTCTCCTTCAGCTTTTTGAAAATGAAAGTGCCCCAAAGGCCTTAACATACCCTCACAACAGCCTTGTGACATGGACAGCAGTTTTACCATACACAGTTTTACTGTATTTCTCACTGACGATACCGAATGAGAGAGGTTAGGTCTTTTGTCATCCTCATCAGGTAAACCTGCAGGGAATTCCACCAGGATTCAGCTTTCCTGGGTCCTATTTCAATGCTCTGCCTACAAGACTAGTTCAGTCCTTACTCTGAAAGCACCTGGTATGTCAACACATTATAAACCCTTTTCTTTCTATGCCGCTAACTTTAGAAATTGATTTTCAATATTACCATTTAGTTAGTAATCAAATCATTGATTCAAGGTGCTCAACCTGAAGAACTTTCACACTAGTGGAACTAATTTCATTTCCCTATCCCAAAAATCAGATTATATTTCTGACATCAGATAGACCAAATGAGTTACATTTGCAAACAATAAACAAAAACAGCTTCAGGCAAAGAACTACTGGCATGTGGAAAAAAGTCAATCAATCTCAACTGACACCTACACCTTTACTCAGCTACTCCACAACTACAAAACTTCATTTTTACACTCCATCCACTTGGAGTATAAGACAATTTGTAGTGGAAACAAAACAGAAAAAGCCATAGATGTTTAATGTGTATTGTATTCTTCCATCAGTGTGGACCACTAACTAATGCTCAGTTAACATATATGCTCTTCTCAGTACCTTGAACTACCTTTATTCCTTTGACATCAAACAGCTAAATACCTTTTGTCTCACTTGCTAGAAAACACAACTTATTACAAGACAATTGGACAGATCAAATCAAGCAGATATATGGGTCCTAGAAGAAAAAATATATTAGGTATAAAAACATTTAATTCATTTTTTAAAGTACAAGACCTTATTCCCAACTCAAAGACTGAAGCAACTTCTAGTATCTTGCAGTAATAATACAAGCTTTAAATCACTTAACACAAGATTAACTTTTTTACACACTCCTCTTGAGTATATCATATTCTCAAATATTTCATACTCTATTATACTACTATTAAAAACTTTTAGAGAACCAGGTGAGTTAAATATTACCACTAAGGATACCAGTTTTCCCTAGCAATTTACAGTTAGTTTACAAAAAGCCACAACGTACCAGTTCCCTTGCTTCTTCAAGCTGCTTCTCAATATTTGCAACCATCTGCTTCTTTTCATCTGAAAAATAATTGTGAAGATACCAATGTAATTGTGGTCTTGCCATGAAAAACATATAGTATTTCAAAATAAGCTTGCAAGTTAGAACTTACTGAAGGGATTCATTGTGTGACATAAACACATACTACAATAGCCACATTTGCAAATTAAAAAAGAGAGAGAGAGAAAGAGTGAATGGAGAATGCTTGGAGTCCTCTGCCTTTTTTTCCCAGTGCTCTCTAGTTCTAAAAGCAGCTATCTTTTCTCCAGGTGTATGAGTTTTGCCTTAGCAGGTACGTGCTGGGCGTGTAAAAATTCATGTGAAAAAGCATATATTCGAGCCAAATGGATAAATATTTATGGTTATATGGTTATATAGTTATAGACTTATCCTATTTATTAGAAAGTTGAAAAAAAAACCCCAACAATCCAATTACAGTGAGTCCAGGAACTGAAGATTAATGAGGTCTCTATTCCTCTCCTCCTTAGGCTGAGCCTAAAGCCCTGGTCCTTTTGCTTTAACAGGAAAAAAAAATGAAATGTCACAAGAATCACAAAAAAGACCACCTTATAGTAGCAGTAAAAACATAGTTGTGTAATAAAAGTTGAAAATAAAAAAATACTATAGCCTGCTATATGTAGCAATAAGGCAGGAATCAGGGGATGCCAAGGCAGTAATCGGTAACAGAAGTCTTGACACATAAAGCAACATGTGCCCTTAAAAAAGCCTTCCTTAAAAATAACAAAACTAGTCCTGAAAGGAATATTTTGCTACAGAGATTTTGACAGAGCAATCCCAGTGTAAGCAAGCTGAATTTCAGCTGAGTCCTCTCATTAGTGCTACAAACACCCTGCATTACATTTGCATGGGCCGATTCATCTTCATCTCCACCAGAACTAGTCTCTACTATCTCTTCTAATTCTCTCATTTACCCAGTATACTCACTGAGGGTAACATCATGGTCTATCCTTCTTCAGTTACATACACTGGTGTACTGCCTGCAGGGAGGATCAAGTTCAGGATCACATTTCCACCTAAAGCACAGTGCAGAGATCTTTGCAAATAACAGGCACGGCATGGACTGGAAGAACTATCTTCTGAGGATTCACCATCCTGTGTGTGGCAGCTTCTTTAGAACAAAGCATATGCTCTGGGTTATCACCCAAGATGCTGCTACAGTATTGTGGAGTAAGTGGGCAACTCACTTCCAATCCAAAATTGAGACTATTATCTGAAGTCCTTAACTAAGGGAGAATTCCTCTCAAAGAAGCCCAAGTTCTCAAGAACAGCCAGCTGGAATGTTAGCAAAGACTCCTGAGACAGGACTGGATAAACATACAGCCCAGTGGCACTGAGGTTCACCAGGAGCTAAAAGAGACTCCACTTTGACTTCATCATCGTATCCTGTATGAGCAAATCAAGGTGTGTGTATGTTGTAGCAGAAAGAACTAAACAGAATGTCTCAAAATATTGGCAAATGGTGATACCCTCTGAGTAATGAGAACTATACCAATGATGGAAGTGAGATGGAAGCACTTGAATCCTTTCAAAAATAAAATTGTAGAGCTCACCTTTAAATCTTCACAGAGTTTCTCTCTTACCCTTGAAAGAGGCCCAAATTTCATCAAGTTATCCTCTCTACAAACCTGAAGCCATGAAAAAAGACCATCTTGGCAATCTTGAATTCACACTGCCATGTCTAGCAGATGCTGCTACAGCAGAAGGTGGGGGGAGATGTTCATTTCTGTGCAGTACTTTACATTCTTTGCTAAGTGTCTTTCATAAACTTCCCACTAAATTCTCATGACAGCACTCAAATCAGAAAAACTAATGGCAAGACATTTATATTCTGAACATAACAAACTCAAAAGAGAATCTGCTTCCTTGTCCATACATTTCAATTCCTCTACTCAGCTTCCCAAAACACCTGTTTCTCCATTCACCTAGAAGCAGGCAAGATGCCACTGGACCAAAGAAAAAACAACATAAGAGATAAAATGCAATGCACAATACCATTTTATTGAAGCTGAAATAAAATTACAAATACAGCAGCAATTTCTGTACATCCCTGAGTTTCACTGGATTACAATTTTCATACACATTAAATTAAACAAGCTTATATTCCTAGATTTCAGAGGGAGTATTATTATTTTGAAGATATTTTATGCAGTTCAAATTCTGTGTACTTACATGAGCTATTGTAGGGGAACTGCTGAATCATGGTCAGAACCTTTTATTGATCACCCGAAGCGAGCAATGAATCATCCACAGGTGAAGGCAATTCACCTGTGCTGCCAGAAGGGGTGGAGCCTGGCTCCACCTCTCCTAGACCCATTTAAGAGCTGGCTACCAGTGGGAATGGATCTCTTCTGGAGTTTTGCAGTGAGTTCAGGATGTGGGTAAGTATTCTATCTAGTCTGTTTTTGTTATTATAACCTGTTTAGCCAAATTCTCTTGTTTATTTCATAATTTTAAATCTTTATATTCATTCTTTATATTAATTGATTATACAGTTACCTAGCATTTCACTGAATACTCAGTTACCCTATTGCTAAGCTCATTAAAGACCAATACAGTCAATTACACTCACTAGATGATTTATTGAACATAAAAATACAAATTCCTGTACTAACTCAACTGCTATCACTGCAATTTTAGTATTAAGCTTCTGATTCTCTGTGCTATTTGGACAATGGTGATGTTTAGAAGGAATCTATAACAAAATGTTCATCAGTCATTGAACTCCAGACCTATAACAACATCCAACTCTTTCTTCAGTCCTCTAAATGCATAATACAATCATCTGCATCTACACTGTAGATATTCAAGCAACTCTTCTGCCTAGTACTGCCAATACATCTAGGCCTGTTGTTGATGCCAGCAAAAGCAGCATGAAATGTTACAGCTGGATTCATTCTCATACTTTGAGTCTTAATGCCATGCCTATGCTTAAGAAACAACCACTGTTCTTCCACATTCAGTATGCCTGCAGAAAGGGAAGATACAACATCCACAAGAAGACATGCTTAGAGACTGTATGCAGATGAGCTCAGAGTAAGGGAAGCTTGCTGCAAATCTAGCAGACCAGGACAAACAAGCTGTGATCCAATTAAAGATTCTCATGTTAGTGATGCATTAAACTGTAGTTTCCAATCTGCTTACTTAACTTTATCTAGTACACTTCCATCATATAAAATACTTAGTATTTTTTTTATACATAACTTTTCTCTTAATTCAGAATTGGTAATATCCTCTAGAAAAAATAAAAAGCAATGTTACACCAAAGATATCTAAATTTAGAATGTAATTTTTGTTCTTGTGCTGCCAGACAGAAAGCTGTTAAGAAAATGCTGCACTTGGCTTGTATAACTTAACTGTTCACGTAAGTATAATGAAAATAAACAAAAGAAAGGCATCTGAGTAAGGATTGCAAAGAATCCTGTATGTGTACACAAGGTTGTACCACTCTTGTAAATAAGACCAGAGCTTATTACACTTTCCTCTGTTCTTTCAGTTTTGCCCTTGCATTAGGCACTGTGACAGAAAGGCAGATAACCTACAAGTGTAGAAAGGTAATACATCTCTGACATGAACTTACAGTAAAGAAAACTTCATTGCTTGTAGAATTGCTTTTTTTATTAGTACACGCTGAGGAAAAGTCTAAGTGACAAAGAACTTTAGTTTGCAGATCACTTGCAGATTTCACTACACTGGCTGAGGTGGTTTACCCTTATACCACTTTGCCAGAGTTTAGTGTCCAACAGTAAAGACAAAGAAAAATCTGTGTACTGTTCCATTTCTCTTTAGGCTGTAAGACTGGGTTCCAGAGGCACAGCATAAAGATCCAGCCATAAAATGGAAATGGCAAACTGCATTACAGGGATATAACAGAAGATTAATAGAACTTTCTTCAGTTAAATCTGATGTACAGTGATTTGACTGGCTAGTAGAAGATGCAGATATCGCTTATCAGCCCTCCAGTCAAAAAACATCACCTCACAGAGGCTACCATGCTGGAAAAAGGCTAAATATCCCACTTAGTACTGAGAACATTTTCTTTCAGATCAAGCAATTAAAATCGATATAAACATTTGGTCAAACCACAAAACAGATGTTTCTCAACAACGCTGAGGAACATTAATAAAACACATCAGTTGAGATCTTCATTCTCTAAAGACCTGCAACAGCATCATAGAAAATCTACTTAAAAGCCATTTTTCAATTTAAAACATCTTCTTTAATTCTCCAGGTGGTGCTTGGCTCAACAGAAGATATTTCTTCCTGAGATGTTCTACTGTCCCTGCTGCTTATTGTTTCTGCAGTATCACAGTGTCTTTGTTACGTTTCTTGCTGAACTATTTATGCCTCTGTGACAACAGGATTGTTTGTTGATTCATTATCTTTCTAGAATGTAAGACAGCATCAAGTCCTGTCAACACTGAATGCAGGAATATTAGCAAAAGTTAACCAGTATTTCTCCAACTGCACATGAAGCTTAGAGCAGGTCCATCTTGGGAAGGAGGAGGAAATAAATCTGTCTCTAGACTTCGGGAGATCTCTCTGTATTATTCAGGAGTAGCACAAGTCCTTACACTTCTCATCCTGCTTCTTCCAGCGTGGAGGAAGAAGGCCATCAGCAATCTCTCTCAAATCACTGCTGCTGTAAAATGCCACCTCACGTGCATCTCTCATGTCCCCCTCCCACCTTGAATCATACTCCTCTTTCTGAGGCTCTCCGAGCCATCTCCACAAGAACTAACTGGGACTTCTGGTGCTGAAGAAGTTTTGATCTTGCAAATATTCCTAGTAAGAAACAAGGGAAAAATGTGCATTTAAAATATTTCTACTTAAAGTGTTCATCATAGTCAGAGTTGTGTTTTTGCGTACCCAGGTGGTAAAAAGCCTCTACTAGCTAAGACTGCAATTTGGCTTAAAGTCATAAGTGACCGTTTTGCTGAAAAAAGACAGAACAGTTCTGAAAACTAAAGCACTTTATCCACAAAAGTACAATGCAAGAAGGAGCTATAAAGCAAGCCAGCCCAAGATATATAGGACTAGCCTCAAATGCTAACATGGAAAAGCCAGCTCTTAAAATAATAAATTAGCTGTTGTATTATTTTGAGGCCATTCAGCTCAGTACCAAACTACTGATCCCACAGAGAACATGCATTCCTTCTCCTCTGATAGGATAGTAAGTTTAAAAAAAAAAAAAAAAGCTACCTAGATTAGGTACACCACAATAGTGAAGAATTAACTGTGTCTCTTCAGTAGACTGTTGTAGAGGCTATTTGCATGTTAAATATTGTTTCAGGTAACATCAATTACATTAGTTCTAAATCTCAATCACAGGAATGTGATCTCATAAGTACCTGCAGATGGTGATGGCCTGATCTTTTTTTTGCTTTGCTAAGTCAATGAGGAGGCAATGTTTCCCATCCTTCAGCCATGCCTATGATTGATTACTGAACTCCAATTTATCAAAACTTTAATTTAGCAGAAGAAATAGCCTCCCAGAACCAAGCTTGCCAAAGTTCAAGAAGCATCTGGACAATGCTGTCAGACATGTGGACTGATTTTTGCATGGCCCTGTGTGGAGCCAGGAGTTGATGATCCTTGTGTGTCCATTCCAACTTGAGATATTTTATGATTCAAGAACCAAACATGTTTACTGAAACACAGACGTAGTTTAGTAAGAACTGTTAGTGATAGGTGGACAGTTGGACTGGATGATGGTGTAGGTCTTTTCCAACCTTGACAGACTCTATGATTCTACGAAAATCCCTGTTCACTCATTTTAAATGCATTTTGGACCTTTGACTTAGCAATGCACTGAGATTACACGTTTTAGTTAAACACGTTTTAGTCTCAAATTCTCTTTAAAGAATTTACTTCATCACTTTTCCACCTTAAAAACAAGACATTACTTTGGTCCTTTAGTCACATAGAAAAGCATACCATTAGCACGCGTCCTGTGACACCCTCTCTGTGTGATACTCACTCCCACAGTCTAAAACTCTGGGACATGGGAAACAGAGGCAGCAAACCGAATACACAGGTTTCACTCAGGTGAGCTACGTGAGGAAGAGACGAGGAACCCCAATTTCAGCTTCCCTCTGCCCCGTTCAGGAGCAGCACATCAGAGCACCGATTCACACTCAGCTGCTGGGTTAGTCTTATTTCTCTCTCTCCCCCTCGCACTCACAGACATGCCTGCAGGAATACGTCACGCGTAAAACCGTGAGTACAGCAGCGGGTGACAAACACCTTGACGTACACAAGCACCGATTTCCTTCTACGTGCGAGTCAGCGCAGCCTCAACCGCCCTGACAGCAGGCAGCAAAAGCACCGATTCGGATGAAACCTCGCACTCGCTCAGCCCATGCACTCGCTCAGCCTAACCGTGACCGAGGGCCGGCCCCGCAGCACGGCGCGCGGCTCGCGGCCGCTCGGCGGCGGCTCCACCAGCGCCGTGCCCGCCCCGCCGCCGGGAGGCTCCGTGCAGCCGGCTGCTCCCGGCCCCGCCGCTCACCTCCGAGCAGCTTGGGCACCCGGCCGATCCTGCCCGTGATGTCGGCCGTCAGCACGGCGAAGTCCTGCTCGTAGCTCTCGAAATCGGACGACATGGCCTCGCCTCAGCCTCGCCTCGCCGCGGGGTCGGCCCGGCGGCGACGCCGCGCTCCGCCGCTCCCCTCGAAGCCGCTTCCGCGTTCTGCTCCCCGCAAAGCCGTCCCCGCCGCCGCGGGTTCCGGCGCACCGCCCGCCCCTCGGCCGCCTGTTTCCCAGCGGGCCCCAATAGCGCGCGGACCGCCTCCGCCTCGCGGGCCGCGCTGGGCGGGCGGCCCCGCTCCCCGCCGCCTCTCGGGGCGGGGCCGAGGCCCGGCGGGCCCCAACGCCTCCCCTTCCCTTTCCCGTTCCTCCCGGCGGGACGGCGAGGGGCCGAGGGGGCCATGCGCGGCGGCGAGGAGGCGTCGGGCGGGCGGCGGCGGTAGCGGCCATGGTTGGCCCCGGGGGGCTGCGGGAGGTGCGGCGGCTGTGCCACTGGGGGCCGCTGGTGGCCCTGTCCGTGGTGATCGTCTGCTCCGCCACCGCCATCGCGGACGCCGTGCTGTGGTACTGGCCCCTGGACACGGCCGGGGGGAGCGTCAACTTCATCATGCTCCTCAACTGGACCGTCATGATTCTCTACAACTATTTCAACGCCATGTTTGTCGGCCCCGGGTACGTCCCGCTGGGGTGGACACCGGTAAGCGCGGCCTCGTGCCCGGCTGGGCTCGGCTCGGCTCGGCGGGGTGGTGGGGGGGGGGCGGGCCCGGCCCTGGGCTGCTCACACCTGTCCTGCGGGCCGCTCCGCGCCTGCGTGGGAACCGCCGCCCGCCGCTCTGCCCCGCGCCCCTCTGCGCTGCGCTGCGCTCAGCCGTCACGCGGCGTTCGGTCCTGAGGAGGGCCGCGAGGATGATCAAAGGGCTCCGTTCTGTGGAGGAAGGCTGAGGAAGCTGGGTTTGTTCGGCCTGCAGGAGAGCTGGCTCCGGGGAGACCTCGGTGCAGGCTTTCAGTAATTGAGGGGAGCTTGTAAGCAGGAGGAGGACTGACTTTTTGCACAAGCAGGTGGTATTAGGGCAAGGGGAATGGGCTTAAACTAAAAGACGGGAGATTTGGGTTAGATGTTAGGAGGAAATTTTTTACTCACACTGGCAGTGCTGCCCAGAGAGGCTGTGGCTGCCCCTCCTCTGGAAGCATTCCTTTGATCGGGCCCTGATCTGGTGGGAGCACCCAGCCCGTGGTGGGAACACCCAGCCCATGGCAGGGATTGGAGTTCTTTGATTGAGGATTTTCCAACCTCAGCCGTTCTGTGATTCTGTCTAACCTGCAGTGCAATAAGACAAGGTAGAAGTTTGTATTCCCTTTGCTTCAGTAACCTGTGGGAAGAGGAGTAGCCAGGGGCTAGAACAGTGCAGACTCAGCATCTTCAGACAGCTGCTGGGAGCTGGAGCTCAGGGTCATGATGCACAAATCAGTAATAATCACTCCCACTTGTGGAGTGTTTCTCAAAACAAAGCGTGCTGCAGAGAATATCCAGGTATAGTTAAAGCAGGATACTGGGATATTCCACTTGGCCCACTGTTACTGCTTACTGTCTACAAGTCCATCTCATCTATCTGCACAGGCACTTCTTTTCTTCCCATTTTTTTTCCCGGTGATAATGGCCCCATGCTGGTTTATATTCTCAGATGTTCACTATAAAACCCTGCTTGCACAATTACTGTTTCTCTGAATTGCTTATTTGTTTAAGCAAGCAGTACTTTCAACAGTGATGGTTATGTTGATAGTGGAGTTCTTTTATTTTTTGTTTTGGCTTAGGAGGGTTGGGTTATGGACCACACCCTGCCAGAAGAAGGTGGATATGCACAAGGCCATACAAGTGCCAAGATATGTGTAGTCAGCAGAATTATGTATTCTGTGTAATATGCCCATTCTTCTATTTAAAGGAAAAATCTCAGGATTGCATGTATCTCCAGTACTGTAAAGTGTGTCAGTCTTACAAGGCACCACGTTCACACCACTGTCGAAAGTGTAACAGGTACAGTCTCTTTAAAATTGATATGTCTGTATGAAAAGCAATTTCTATGCTAGTGATGAGCTGTTAAAATGAATTCATTCTGGTCTCGTACTCTATATATTTTAAAGATTTCACTACAAACACTGCTTCAAATACTTCCAGTTTCCAGTTGTATGACTTCTTTGTGTTCTTACTGTGTTTTAATTAAAGAAAAATGAATAACCTGCCTTTAACATTTTCTTTTTAGCTGGAAATAATTTCTCTTGGGAACTTGGCAGGGTTAAAATATGTCAGTACTGTTTCAGAGAGATGAGCCTGTGTAAATATCTAAAAATCTCTCAATCCTTTTTTTAAGTTCTGAGTCTGAGCACCCTCACGCTCAGGAAAGCCTATTCTGCTATCTTTCCAAATGGGAATAACTTGTTGATTTAAGTGGAAATTTTGAACTGTTTCTTACCATTCACTTGAGGGTTTGTTGGTATTTTTTTTCCAAGAGAGGTCTATTTAAGTGAACTGCTAAGCTTTTTGGGTCGACATAAAAAGCTTTTGGCCTTTTATGTGTTAGTCCTCCAACAGATCTGTTTTGGGCTAATGTTTTTAAGATTTTTTTATAAATAGCTGCACTGGAATTTGGCGTGTCTTGAAAAAAGCAAGCCACTTGTGCTGTCTGCAGTCCAGACTATAGATGCATTTATCTTTTTATTGGGTAGGTTCTCCTCTGGAGGATTGCTGGAGAACATGGTAAGAGGGTATTGCAATGTGCACATTTACTTCTTGTTGCCATAAATACAAGATACCCAATCAGTGCTTTCAGGAAGTAGCAGAGCAGTGTTGCAATTTGCTGCATCATTCTTGAGTTTTAAAATAAGACTCCTTTCTTTGAGTAACAATTCTTATGTTGAGGAGATATTAGAAAATGTCAGCAGATTCCTGTGATTATCTTTACAAAAGCAAGTTCTAGTTTGTTTCACTAAATTATTAAAAGCAGAAACCACAGCACAGTCTACAGATCGTTTTGCTGATGTGTTTTAAGAAGTTACTGCCCCTCAGCTCTGGCCAAAATAACTAACTCTGTGTGTATCTCTAGACTGCAGCAGTGCAGCAAGGTAGTTAATGTAAATCACAACTGAAAATCTTCTATGCAATGGCAGTTTTTAGTCCATGAATGTATTAAATTGTGGTGGCCCTTCTGAATGGGGTGAGACTTCTAGCCCACATTAAGGAACTTCTTCAGAAACAGTTGAGTTGTTGATTATGATCACGTTTTCAAAAACCTGTACAGCAACAGCTGAGCATACGTTAACAAAAAAGTGTTAATTCTTTAGAAGATAGAAACTGAGCTTCCTATCGGGAATGTAGTAGCTTAAAAGATAAATGAGATCAATAGTTTGAAAACAATTACCTGTTCTCAGAGAAGCTGGATATTTGTGTAATTCAGTCCTTTGTTTATCAAATACCTTAGGTCTGCAAAAAAGTGGTGTGAGGTTAGTACATAGCAGTTAATGAAGTCTTTCGAGGGCATTCTACAAAATGCAAGAGACATTTAATGTCTCTTAATACACCTTTCTTGGTGTATCTTTGTGTGTTCTATATTCAGGAGGCCCAAAGGACATTTGTTATTTGATATTTTGTTTCCTTGGTGTGCTTATTTTATAAATAATTGACAGTAATACTTATGCTTAATTATTACATTTGTAGCTGTTAAACTTCCCATATTGGCTCTGAGATTTGGTGTTAGTAGCAACTAGTAAGTTTGAATAAAGAGAAGGAAGGAAAACTGATGAGAGTAGGACCTTCTAGTACTTTCTGTTTTGCTTTCTTTTGTTCTACAGCATGAAGTACTATTTTGAATAACAGAAAAAAACCCCAAAACATACTTTATTCATTTGTTAGAAATTGGTGGGATTGAGTGAAGATTAAGTTGTAGCAAGTTAGCTGTCCTTTCCTTTGATTTTCTTTTAAAACATCATTGATGTCCTCTATATTAATCACCATTTATTATTCATAGGTGTGTCATGAAGATGGATCACCATTGTCCTTGGATCAACAACTGTTGTGGTTACCAGAATCATGCATCTTTCACTTTGTTTCTCCTCTTAGCACCACTAGGATGCATTCACGCGTCTTTCATATTTGTAATGACTATGTACACTCAGCTTTACAACAGAGTAAGAAAACATAGTTAAGTGCTTAAAATGTTCTTAAAGTTGGATGGGTTATTTATTCTTGGAAGTATGGGACAATTTGGTTTCCTGTAAAGAAGTGCATGGAATTCCTTTTTGTTCTTTCAACATGTATTGTTTTGCTCTTTGCATTTTGAGAAGTATGTTCAGTATTAGGTGAGGGATTCAAAAAAATGTTTGGTTCTTCCTCCACCCCTCTCCCCCCCTTTTTTTTTCCTCCAGTTGCTTGTCATAGCCACAGGGAGTTTGCTAGAGCTTTGCGCTGACTGAACACTGATTATGAGTAGCACATATCATATGTGTTGTGCTTCCCATAAGTTAAATGCTATTTATTTTCTTCTGCTTTCCACTCTTTAGAGTTGAATCATTTCCTTCAAGGAGAACGTGATATATTATATCTTGGGAGCCACAAATAAATTACGTTGAATTTATTTTAAAAGTAGAAAAATTAACTGAACTAACAATTAGGAAAGATTCTTGTGGAATACATCCCTCATTCCAGATCTATGGTTAAGATTTTGAGCTTTGATTTTTAACCTTTGTGGTTGCATTGAAAAGCTTGAAAATATTAACTCAGTCAAACAGATAACGGCTCTATGCTGTATTTGCAGAGCACTAACAGTGAGAACTACTACTTGCAGAAGCTTTCAGAGGAAAACCTATAGCATTTCCAAAACGGATATTGTGCTGTGCACGTGTTTTCGCTTGGAAAGTGTTGAATGTGTTCTGTAGTGTACTCAGAGTCTGGATTTTTGCTGCAGATTTTAGGCCTAGTTTGTGGTGGAATTTGCAATATAGCAATTTTGATTTAGTTTTCTATTCAACAAAGAATGAAGAGGAAAAATTAGAACAAGAAAAATTGTTATATATATATATATATATATACAATATAAAGCATTTTATATTTTTTATTTATAAATATATGTATTATATATAAATATATAAAAGTAGATACATACAAAAGTTTATCTATTCCACTTGCATTATAAGCCTATCAGAGGTTGAGCACGCCTTCAGATTACTTATAGGTAACTGGTTTGGTTTCAGCAATTGTTATGTTTCAGACCTGAACAAGAATGCTTTCTCTTTGCAGATATCTTTTGGGTGGAGTTCTGTAAAAATTGATATGAGTGCAGCCAAAAGAGACCCTCGAACCATTATTCCCTTTGGACTGTCTGCATTTGCTGCATCTTTATTTGCCTTAGGTCTGGCGTTAGGAACAACAATTGCTGTTGGTATGCTGTTTATTATTCAGGTAAGCTTATGGCTTTTGTTACAAACAAGTTAAAAGATGTGACTTGCACCTCTTTAGTTACTGGTATCGATTGCAGGGCAGAAGCAGAATTCAGAATTGCAATAAGAACACTTGTTTAGACCTTATGTAGCTGTGTTACTCAAGATTTTTTAGTTGCTTTTTCCTCCTTAGAACCTTGTAGTGAAAATCTAATAAAAAAAGAAAAGATGAGATGTGCTGTATAAATCCTGTTCTGGAAAAGGCAAAATACCCAATACTTAGTATTTTGGGGAATCTTGTCCCTGTCTGTGAAAATAGGAATAAGTGTGCCTGGCACATTGCTTGAAAAGTCTGAGATCTTTGGAATGAAAAAAATACACAATCTTAGTATAAACCAAAATATTATATGGTATCTCTCCAAGTGTGTAATTCTGGATGATAGCATTACCATGCATCTATTGCTGAATATTAATTTTGAGTATTTCATGTTTTAGTTAGGCTTATAAGCAATTGTTCTGTTGTTCAAAGTTAAATGTGGCTTGTTAAATGAAGTTTTCTTTGCCTAGCTAATGTATTTCTGCAGAAAATAAATGCTATTTTCATCTAACACTTTTATTTAATTTAGATGAAAGTCATTTTGAAAAACAAAACTTCAATCGAGTCCTGGATTGAAGAAAAGGTAGGCTTTTATTACAGTAACCTTGTTCTGTGTTGTTAACAAAGTTTATTCTCTGTATCTATTCATTTCTTGTTCCACCTGTCCAGATTTGAACCAAAGGTGTCACTGCAACACTCATTTAATATGAGAACTTCAGGGTGACCCTAGAAAAACACTTGTTTTTAGGGGGCTTTGCTTATCTATGTGGAAAATCAGGAATTTTTTTCATTTGTAACATAAGCTGTTGTTGTTTCTACTACGTAGTTTTGTCCATCTGCGTCTTCAATTGTCCAAGTTCCCTACCCGTTCTAGATAGCTTATTCTGGCCCATGATTTTCTTTATTTCCTGCTTCTCTGATTAAACTTGGGAGATTTTCCTTCATTTTAAAAGAAGTCCTAAAAGCCAATGAGATGGCTTATCTCATCTTCTGAAATTTCTCATTGATATCTATATCACCAGAGGATTTCACGATATTCTTCAAAAGAAATATATGGCATAGCAAAAGCAAAAGTTGACTGTTAAGAAAATACTTCTCTGCCACCAAGTTACAAACAAGCATTTTGTTACTGTCTTTTCATTTTGTTCTGTGTCGAATTATCAATAGGATCTTGAGCATTTATGAGTACCTAGATATTACAGTGCTTTCTGTTTGCACAGTGTCTAGCTTAGCTGGATCATAGTCTGTAGACCTTTGAGTAATTGGACAGTGAAACTTTGTTAAAACTATATAATTAAATGTGGAATAATCTGTAGAAATCTTTGTCAAATATAGACTAGTAGTATATCCTTTCTGAAGACTCAACACACACTGCAATGTATATGTATATGTGTTTTATAAACTATACTATTGCAACATAGAACAAATTCTTCCATTGTTCCACTAGATGTCACTGTTACTGAAAGAATGGAGCATTCACTCATACAGAAAATGTAATATTTAAAGCATGCCTTTATACTCAGTTCTTTGAAGTGAGCTGAACACTCTAAGTATTGAATTATGTTTGCAGTTGTTAAGCAAAAAGTTCTGAGTTATGGAAATCTTTGTGTTTAACTGAGAAATAGTGAGACATAAGCTTTTAAAAAAGGCATAAAATAAAATTAAGGCTTGGAGTGGATTGGTCAGAAGTGTAGCCAAGTGACTCTGCTGTTAAACAGAATATATCAGGAAAACAAACAAAACCACAAACACTTCTAAATGATACAGTTGTATCATCTAGTTGCAAGTAGTTTTAAAAGTCTAGGTTAGTGTGGTGGGAATTCACTACTCTTGTCCCAGAATTGTCACCTTTGGGGCTCATAGATCCACACAGGGCCTATGACCTGGCCTTCTTAATATTTTCTGGTCAACTATAGTTCCTAAGATGTCTTTTATGTGCTGTATTTCTTTATTTCCAGGCCAAAGACAGAATCCAGTACTACCAAACAGATGAAACCTTTATTTTTCCATATGATATGGGAAGTAAATGGAAAAACTTCAGGCAAGTGTTTACGTGGTCTGGGATTCCTGAGGGAGATGGCCTGGACTGGCCAGTGAGAGAAGGCTGTCATCGATACAGTTTGACGGTAATTGATCTTTGATGTTATCTCAGGTTAATCTTCCCCACTGTCCCCTGCCTTCCTCTCCAATAATGTACCAGATTTTAAAGTAACTGGAATAGACTAAGAAACACGAGTTCTGTCAGATTTTCTGCCATTTTTGATAGGCTAACATGCTTTTGTGAGTGCTTTTAAATGCTAAATACATTTCCCTAAGTTTGTTTAATGGTTTCAGTACTTAACTTCATTTTGTGGTGAATACACACAAGTCCTCTGAAACACTGCCTAATTTTTTATATGTAATCATTTATAGATAGAGCAACTGAAACAGAAAGCAGACAAGCGAGTAAGAAGTGTAAGTATTTGTGATGTTTGTGATCTGACGTCACTTAGGAATTTCCTTATAAATAAATGTAAGTAATCACTGATACTGTTTCTTTTCATTATTTTTAAACCTAGCAATTAACAAAGGCTTTGTGTTTCCACACAGAGTGTTCTGTAACCTCTGCTTAATTAAACTTAAAATTTAGCTTTCTTTGCGTTTGCTCTTTAGTTTTCTAATAATAAAGATGAGTCTCTGCTTAGTTGTCAAGCAGTTAATCTGGAATTTTGAGTGTCTTTCATAGCAGTGGTCATTTATGCTCAAATCTAATGGGGTGTTTTAAGTGATTTTTGGTACAAAACACACAGCAAGGCCATAGCTCCCTGCAGTGTAATACATTACCATGCTCTGTTCAAATTTCTAGGTGCGATATCGAGCCATAGAAGATTACAGTGGTGTCTGCTGCCCTGTGACTAAAGGTGTTAAAACATTCTTCACAACGCCATGTACTGAAGAACCTAGAATTGCACTGAGTAAAGGGGATCTGATTTTAGCCACGAGAGGCTTAAAGTTAGTGGCTCCACACTTTTATGTTTTGTTAAAAGCAATATTGAGATGAGTTCTGGCATCTAATTACCTGTTACGCTTTCTTCTCTAGACACTGGATGTATGGTGAGAAGATTCTTAACTCGGCTGGTGATGGTATGAAACAGTTATTTTCTTTTTTTTTTTTTTTGTTAAAAAGTTGCAATCAATTTTACAGCTGTCTAGCTTCTGGATAGAAACATGAGTATCATGTATTCAGTTCTCAAAATGTAGAATGACTTACTTTAATAGCATTAGCTCCTCTTCTCTATAAAGCCACATCCGCAGTCTTTACTGTTTGGAAAATGTAAACCAAATGTAAACAGCTGTGAATGCACTGCATGTATGTTCCTTGTTGGCAAAACAGAGGCACCCAGCAGTCACTATGTTGAAACCATCCATGCTTCTCATGGGAAGCTGGATACCTCCATGAGCTGGAAGTGCTTTCAAACACCAAAAATTAACAAGTCACTGAAATTAGTATGATAGTAGTTCGTATTGTGAAGGTTAGGAGATTATCTGTGCTAAATAGTCTCTTTGCATGTGAAATAAAGTCTGGATGAAAGACTTTGTACATACTGAAAGTCTAGATTAGAACTCAACATTAGCACTTTGGAGAACTGGACTTTAAAAATATCATGAGATTTGTTAACACTGCATAGCAAAATGCTATAAATAGGCAGGAATAACTAGCTTCATAAAGAAAGGTGGAAAAAATAATGATTAAGTAGCAGTTCTTTTAGGGGGAAAAGTAGACAATCATAATCTTAGGATGAGTCAACATTTGCAAAAAGAAGCAGCATCTAGCTTCACAAATGCATGAAGTAATCCTTCCATCCCACTTAAGGTTTTCAGAAATTTGGCTGAAGAACTGACACAAGCAAACATCTTGCTATGTATCCAGAAAAGGGAAGATCAGCTGTAGAGGGTTGAGTGGGAAACAATGAGAATATTTGGAGCACTAGAAAATTAGACCTATATGGAAAAGCTGAAAGAGTTTGGGTTCCTTAACTGGAGAGGAAAAAGAGGTAGCAGAAAGCCAGAACAGACATCAGTTGCACTAAGGTTTGTTGTAGAGCAGGTTGTTAGCTGCTTCCTGAGTTTCTTAGGAGTAGAAGAGGAATTGTAAAAGATTCACATTGGGTATGAGAAAAGATTGTCTAATAGCAAGGAAAGTAGAAGTGGGAAATATTAGAGATGTATGAAAACAGCTGAGGCAGTAGGAGAGACTCCATGCATTCTTGGACAAATAAGTTAGGGGTGACTTTTATATGCTGCCTTGGATAAGAAAATAAATTAGGTATTTTCTTGGTGTCTCTTTCAGTCCTGTGTTTATCTTAAATAATGGGTTGTATTTGGTTCCAAGTTAATGTAACTTTCTATATCTTAAGGTGGAATAAGAGAACGAGGCTGGTTCCCTAGGAAATGTGTGGAAAAATGCCAGTATGACTCTGAAACGGATCAACCAGTGGATGGAGAGAAGAAAAGCAGATAGCCTTCTCATTTTTTTTTTTTTTAATAAGAAATGGAGTTTTTTACTTCGGACCATAATCCTTTACTTGAAATTTTCTGTATATTACTTTAGACTTATGCAATGACTATGTTGGAGCAAGATTTTCTTTTCCTCACAGTTGAAAGGGTTGGATATGCCTGTGCCATGGTTTGCATTCTTTTTTTGACAATAAATAACTGAAGAAGCCATTCAGTGGATTGCCTTCAAGATGGATTTTTCTCATCCCAAGTCAGGTTTCTTTCTGCTGTTTAAACTGCATTCTGAGCAGCCATCTTTTACGGTTTTTTTTCCCACAACTGCATCTGTTGTGATGCTTGATACATATCTCTCGTATTTTACTTTCTTTGAAGCTGCCCCCTGAAATATACAGAATAAATCTCTAATTCAAATTCAAGATAAGATTTGTTACCCGTGACTTTTAATGATGTGAATTATCCACCTCAAATAAATAATATGTTCATATTTACTTGTGGATTTAATTGTTCTTAGATTTTATAAGAACTTGTTTATAGGCACAGAAAGGTGTACTGATTGGGAAGCAAGTATTTCAGAAGCTGTTTTCTAAATTGGAATAACTACAGCTCTTGCTATAAGAAGTCAACTATTCTCTGCTCTCTTTGAAATATCAGCTTGTATCCAAGGGACTGGAGTTACTGATCCATCTTAGACTGAAAAGAAGCACTAGTTCCAAGAGAGAAAACTTCTGCAAGTCTAGTCACTAAGTGATGAATACCTTTGCTAAAACATTTTTATGCAGTATCTGGTATGGATTATTAGAAAGAAGACCTTTAAAAAAAAAAAATACCTGTACCAGCTGAAAGATTTTGAAATGTAAGTACAGCACATGGCTTAGACTAGTTCCATATCAGAAGTTGCAGTTTTTGTAAGTGATTGTTCTAAACTAACACCTGGTTTTTCTCCACCTGCATAAGTTGTCTCAAACAGATAAGTTTTTCTTAGGCAATATTAAGTGTATATGGAAATAACTGCATAACAGACAAGCCAGAACTGATATTCTGTGCTGCTGCTGAGGCTGTTTACCTCTAGCACTACCCAGGCTTTCTTCTTGTTGTTTTTTAACTTCCAGCCTTCTGTGCATTACTGCTGGTGGTGAGCCATAATCTTAGGTTGTTTCTGAGCTGTGGTAATGGGGAACTAGATTCAGTTTCAGTATTCTGCAAGCAGGTTGCTTTTCCCTCTTGAAATCACAACACTTATTTTCTAGAAGCGCTATTCTTTAGTGGTATAGGAATATATTACACTTCTAGTTTCCCTGTTAGCAAGGGCTGAGAGGAGATTACAGCAAAAGGGTAAATTCTGTGCTGTTTTGGAATGTGAACAGAAGTTATTATGAAGGCTTGTAAACTGCATGGTTTACGGTCTTAGTCTTAACTGGAATGTTTTCTGTTCTGCATCTGTGAGCCAAAGAAAGATGACAAGAATAAGCTTGTCTTCCAGCTGAGGAGCTGTTGAACTTGACTGTGCAATGACAAAATAGCTGCTATCTATACTGATAGTAATTAGTAGTGTAATAGGAACAAGTGGATAGCACTAATGATCACAGTTGAATGTTAGCTATTGGAAGTGGTGGGGTGAATTTTTTTTAAATGGCTTGCTTATGGGGTTTGAATGTCATTTTGTGCTTGAAGAGCATCAGAGCAGAACTGGAGCAGAATTTTGCACACCAAGATTGTTCCACACTGAACCACAGCACGTCCAGGAGATTTGCTCCAGAATGAGTTGATGATTGGACTTGATGATCTTAAAGTATTTTTCTAGTCTTAATGATTCTGTATTCTATTCTAAACAGTCTAAAATGGACTGTAAAGTACATGTTTTTGTTTTGTAATGCTTTCCACTTTTTTCATTATAGCTGTAATTTCTCTTTGAAAGGGAAAGGTAGGCTTGAAGAGCTCTCTTTAAGCTGAAGGAAGCGCTGGTTCATGAACACTACCAGTTGAAGGGCTACAGGAGTGTGCAGGGCTTCAACTTCCAAACTGATCTTTGTGGGGAAGTTTCATTTGATAAAATGAACAAAATACTTTCCAGACGCTGCTGCGGACAGCATTCAGCCTCAAGTTGATACAGATCTCAGTTGCAATAGATTTACTGCCCCCAGTTCATCAGAGCCCACAACCATTTTAAGTTTATATTTCTTCTCTCTGGTTCGTCTTCCATTTTCACCAGTCCAACATTAGCCAAAAGACAGGCATCAGTAGTTTTTAAGTCATTTTGCTTTAAGGAAACACATGCAGCACATTTAGTTGCATGTGTTCCAGATTCTGGGTCTTTATACTCTGAAGTCAAGAATCATGTTGAACGTACGTATTAACACAACAGTTATGTGAAAACATCAAGGTCTTTGGACATGGACTAGAAATAGAACTGAGCTTAGACTCTGAAACAAGAGCAAATTGTTATTAATTAAAGCTTCAGATGTTTCACAACAAAGGCTGGTTATTTCCTGACTAACAAGCCTACTGGTTGTTTTCAAATATCTAACCAAAACATCTTAAATACCAAGAGGCATACCTCTTAAATTCCAAGGCACTAGCTGTAATTGTCAGAGAAGGAGAGCTGATATAGAAAAGCATCCCTCCATGTTACATTCTTAGAGTTGCATTACCTTTTAAAGAAAAAAAGCAAACTGATCCAAACTACTACAAGAACAGAAAGAAAGTATTAGAAGATTGGCTCAACTCTGTGAACCCCATAAATATTTCTAAAGATAGAGAATGTCAGTACTCACTTGCCTAAGTAGTTTTCTAAAGAAACTAAGGAGGTTTATTTTGCCTTAAAATAAGGCATTGTATTTAATTTACTGTAGGACAAGCTGAGCTAGAAGAATGAGCTTATCCTGAAGGCTTTGACATATATTGCCTTACTAGAAGGAAAAGAAAGCTGATCAGAGGAGCAGCATCTTGTCTTGCCCTATCTTCCTGCCTCATGCTGCTGGAGCTGGAGCCAAGCCATGACAGCTCAGGAAACAAGTCAGCTACAGCACAATGGCAGAAGGAAGCTATCCATGACCAGACAGCAGTAAGGCTGCAGCTGAAATTCTGGTTGCCGCAAAGAAACAAATTACCCACACAGGCTTTGGTTTGAGTTTACAGTTGCAATTTATCCCATTTTATAACCTTGAGAAGTTGAAGAGTTTGAGTTACTAGGCTCATAAGTTTATAAGTGTACTGGCTTTATAACTGCCGTTGCATTTGAGAACGTGCTAAAAAACCAAAAATCTGAACCAGTGTCTCCTAAAGCATGAATTATGTTTGGTTTAGACACATATTTCATTAACCATTTGATGCCAAACTAATCACACTTTCATTAAAAATGACCTACAGTGGTGCAGTCCAAGGCCAGGAGCAGGGATGTTCACTTTGTTATTGCTGAGCAGATGTTAAGCTCCTATTCATATTGTCACAGCTCAAGTTGAGACCGGTGTACTGAAGAAGTTCTACCATCCTGAGCGAAAACTGAAGTGTTTTCTTCCTGCACTCTCTTTGTGAACCACCTCCCTCCTACCCCACCCACAACACAACTGCATGAAAGTGTTCAGTCTGATTGCAGATTAAGCCACAGAAGTTCAGAATGGAGGTTATAGTTGGAGCAAGAAAACAGCTGCCTTGTAAAGGCTGAGGCTCTTCAGTGTGTGTGTGCTTCATTCACAGCCCAAGGAAATCGAAGTTATAGCTTTGGAGATTCCATGCTCAGTCCTCCAAGATTGGACGTTGCCAGTCACCACCAGTTATACTGTAGCTATCTTCATCTGAAAGTCATTTTTCATAGGATGCCAGAAACAATATATTAAGTTCTCCTTCCACTCAAGCTTGTGTTCTCCAGAGGTCACATAGTGTTACAGATTTGTTTAGATACTCCATGAAGTTTAATTTAAATTAGTCACTTATTCCTGCATACTTGAATAGAGGGCTTCAATCTGCTTCTGGAAGACTTTAACAAGCTCTGCTCTCTTTGCCTTCAGTGTTGGTGTCAAGAGTCCATTTTCTACAGAGAACAGCTCTGTGTGAATGTACAGGTCTTTAACCTATAAAAGAGTACAATTTTAAAAGTGATTCTTACAGTATTACATAGAGCATAAGCAACAGGTCTTCCCAGCCTCAAGCTTAGGGCAACATTTCAGTCTCAAGAGCTCTAGTAACTAAACTGCTTCTCTGATGCAGGAGTTAAACTTCTGACTGAGAGTCAGCCTGTGGGAAACCCACATGTCATTCCATAGCAATTGCATCTGTTGCTGCATGCACCCCTCTGCCTCTTGGTCAACAGACAGGTAACTAGCCAATGATTCCATGCCTGTTGCATTCACTTGTCCCAAGCAGCTGTCTTAGGTCCCATTCCAGCAAGAACACAGACTTCCCAGCCATTGTATTAGCAATACAAGTACTTGTGACAAGCAGGATTGGAAAGTACTCACTTGTTCAAAGGACTTAAGGCCAGCTGCTTTCCCCAGTCTAACCAGATCTTCTAAAATAGCTTTCTTCACTGCCTGGAAGAGATAGGAACAGTGTGGGTAAAGCTACCATTTGGTAATTGGCTCAGGACCACAACCACTGCCCAATCAGAGAGAAGTGAGGTTGGCAAAAATACATGTATACATTTCAGCATTCAATATTTCTCACATTAAGACCATGACAAGGACATGTCTATCTTCTCACTGGAAAACAAGGAGTTATAGTCCTTGAAATTTCCAGGAATACCTTTATTAGTTCCATCTTCTGCTTTAAGGATATTTGCATGTTTCATACAGCATTAAGCCAATTTAATTTATAAAAATTATAATTTATAAAAAGGGGGGTAAAAAATGAAGCCAAAGTAATGCATGATTGGATTTCAGAAAAAAAAAAATATCTTCCTATAACCCACTGAAAAGGTGAGGCCACTCACTGGATTTTTGCAGATATCTTCATAGGAACCCTTTACTCCCAGTTTTGCTGCAAATTCTGGAAGTGTCTCAGCATCAGGAACCACTATACCTATTAGACAAGACTGAAAACAAATAGAAGTAGGACAGACGTGGAGTTATCGGGATTGTCTATATGAGAACTTGATAGTTAATATATACCAAGCTAGATCTACATCCCCGTATGTTTCCAGAATTTGAAAGGTAGCTAAAAAGACTTCGTCTGTGTTCTGACAGCAGTAGTCAAAGTGCTCATGCAGTTTGTTCTGCACTAACCACTCCAGCAAATATTACTCACTGGTAAAACAGTAGAGCAACTGCACAGAGCTCACATGACATATTAATCCCATACAAGTATGTAATTAACCTTTACCCAACTTGCAACTGGATACCAAGATTTCTTTAGTGTAAAAAAGGGAAGGTTGTAGAAAGGATATTTCTATTGGCATTGTGCTGTCAGGGACAAATCTTGTTCAAGCACTGGTATACTTTAATGTTTATGCTCTGATCTTCCAGAAATCATTATGGGAGGAATCTTACAGGATGCT